AATGATACTTATATGGATATTGTAGTTGCTTGTTCTGGTTTAAATACGATTGATGTCATGTTAGGCTTTGGAAATGGAAGTTTCACAATACCATACAAATATTCAACTAATAATAATTCATTTCCATTATCGATAGTAATTGGTGACTTTGATAATGATAATCATCTTGATATTGCTGTAGCAAACTATCAGAATGAAAGTGTGGGTATATTTTTTGGATATGGAAATGGAATTTTTACAGATCAAATGATATTCTTCAGTATTGATTACAATTTTAATCCATATGCCATTGCTGCTGGTGATTTCAATGGTGACAATCGATTAGATATTGCTGTGGTCAATTATGATTACAATTATGTTGATATCGTTCTGACATATCGAAATTATACGTTCTTAAGTCAAAATACATATTCAACAGGCATTCAAAGTAGTCCAGTTTCGGTCGCTTTTGCTGACTTTAATAATGATAAGCAACTGGATATTGTCGTCGCTAATTATGGAACAAACAATATTGGTATATTTCTAAGCTATGGTAATGGTACTTTCTCAACTCAAATAGCTTATTCAACTGGAGACAATTCTCAACCATATGCAGTTACTATTGGTGATTTTAATAATGATAGACAACTAGATATTGTCGTTGCTAATTATGGAACAAATAATATTGGTATATTTCTTGGGTATAGTAATGGTACTTTCTCAAGTCAAACAATCTATTCGACTGGCAATGGCTCTAGGCCACGTGATGTTGCTGCTGGTGATTTTGATAATGACGGACAACTGGATATTGCCGTTGCCAACTTTTATGGTTGGAATATAGGTATATTTCTGGGATATGGCAATGGGACTTTTTCCAGCCAACAAACCTATCCAACTGGGAACTCATCTAACGCCCAATCTATTGCTATTGGTGATTTTAATAATGACAGTCGATTAGATATAGCCGTCGCTAATTTTTATGGTGACAGTATGGGCGTATTTCTTGGATATGGCAACGGTACTTTTGCGGATCAAGTCTCTTATTCGGTTCCACTTAGTACTCACCCATATGATATTGTTATCGGTGATGTGAATAATGATGATCATCAAGATATAATAGTTACTGTCGATTACAGTCAAAGTATTCTTATTTTCTTTGGATACGGTAATGGAACATTTGTCGAAGGAAATACTTATTCTACTGGTAGTGGTTCTTACCCATACTCAATTGCTGTTGGTGACGTAAACAATGACAATCAACTAGACATCATCGTAACTAATTGTGGCACTAACAATGTGGTTGTATTTATTGGGGAAGGTGATGGAACGTTTCCTAATCAAAGAACTTATTCAACTGGTAACAATTCTAGTCCAACTTGGATCGTTCTTGGTGACATTAATAATGATAACATTCTTGATATGGTCGTCGCCGATAATGGCACGAATATGATAGGTACTTTTCTCGGATCTACTTATATGAATGGTATACTTGAAGATACATATTCAACTGGATCTTCTCCACATCCACATGGTTTAGCTCTTGGTGATTTCAATCATGATGGTCAATTAGATATCGTCATAGCAAATTATGGTTTAAATAATGTAGGAGTGCTATCGGGAAATGTCAATGAAACATTTCCATTACAAACAGTATTTTCCACTGGTACCTTATCTTTTCCAACTTCAGTTGCTGTTAATGATCTAAATAATGATAATGAACTAGATATTATTGTAGCGAATTCTGCAACTGAAAATGTAGGTATTCTTTATGGATATGGAAATGGTAGTTTTGCAAATTTAACTATGTATTCAACTGGAGTTGGTTCAATTCCACAAGCAGTAACTACTGGTGATTTCAACAATGATAAGAAACTTGATATTGCTGTTATTGATTCTGGCACTGATAGGGTATTAACACTTATCAAATACGATGCTGGAAGTTTTCGAAATCAAATAACATTTTCCACAGGTACAAATTCTGCTCCGGCCGCAGTAGCTGTTGCTGATTTAAACAATGATGGATGGTTAGATTTCGTGTCAGCCAATTCAGACAGTGGAAATGTGGGTGTTTTTCTGGGACTAAGCAATGGTACTTTTTCCAATCAAACGACATATTCGACTGGGTTCGAGTCGTTGCCAATTGCGATTACTATTGTTGATTTGAACAATGACAGTTATTTGGATATGGTTGTCGCCAATGTATATACTGACAATATAGGTATTTTTCTTGGATATGGTAATGGTGTATTCACAAATCAAACAACATTTTATACTGGTCATAAGTCCGGCCCATGTGGAGTCATCGTTGCAGATTTCAACAATGATAGTCAATTAGATATTGCCGTCTCTCTCGAATTCTCTGGTCAAATGGGTGTTTTATTAGGATACGGGAATGGTTCTTTCTCTGATGTAGACACCTACTGGATTGACAGTGAAGCTTCTCCAGTATCAGTCGCTACTAGTGATTTTAACAACGACAATCGATTAGATATTGTCGTGTCCAATAATGGTCTTGGCAGTATAAGTATTTTTTATGGCATTGGTGATGGCACTTTTTCCAATCTGACTAATTATACAACTGGCAGTGGTTCACAACCATATTGCATCGTCGTTAGTGATTTTAACAACGATGCTATATTAGATATTGCAGTTGCCAATTCCGGCACTGACAATATCGGTGTGTTTTTTGGAAATGTCAATCATAGTTTTCATGATCAAATAACTTTTTCAACTGGTATTGGCTCTGATCCGGATGTATTAGTCGTTGAGGACTTTAATAATGACAATCAACTGGATATAGCCTTTGCCAATTATGGTACCAATTCTATAGGTGTTCTTCTTGGATGTATTAATGGTACTTTTTTTGATCCATTGACCTATTCGACTGGTGATAATTCTCAGCCATATTTTCTCGCTGTTGGTGATTTTAATAAAGACGAACGTCTCGATGTTGTCACCGCCAATTTTGGTACGAATAATATAGGTATGTTCTTTGGATATGTTAACGAAGATTTTCTAAATGCACCAGCTTATTCGACTGGATCCTCTTCTCAAGTGACTTCCATAGCTGTTGGAGATTTTAATAATGATACTCGATTAGATGTTGTCATCACCAATAATGCTACAAACAATGTTAAAGTTATATTTGGATCAGGTTATGGTACTTTTCTCTATGATATAACATATTCAACTGGTGATGCTTCTCAACCATGTTCCGTTAGTGTTGCTGATTTAAATAATGACCATCAATTAGATTTTGTCGTTGCAAATTCTGGTATTAATACCATTAGTATTTTTCTTAACAATGGTAGTGGTACGTTTTCAAATCAAATAACTTATTCTACTGGTGTTCGTTCTCAACCATATTCAGTTGTTATTCTTGATTTTAATAATGATACTCAATTAGATATTGCTGTTGCTAGTTATGGGAGTAGTAATATCGGTGTATATTTTGGTTATGGCAATGGAAGTTTTATGAATCAACAGATATTCTCTAGTGGTTTTAATTCACATCCATTTGCACTTGCTGTTGGTGATATAGACAATAATAATTTAACTGATATAATTGCAACTAATAATGGATATGGTAATATTGATATTCTTATGAAAACTTGCTAACATGACATTTTTCATTTATATCTATACTTTTTTTAAACTATATAATATTTTTTTAATAGTTCTTCTTATGTTCTTTCTGTAGTTTGAAACTGACTTTTTTTACAGTGTATTTTTATAAAAACATCTTAAAGCTTAATTTTTATTAAATTCTTTTGTTTACTTAGAATTGTTTACTATATCCAAAGAAATTGAACATTTAATATAGTAGAGATTTTCTATAAGATTTAGATCCACACAAATATGATTGTAGTAATGACAGATTCTT